ATGCGATTCAGCTTAACTATTATAAATGTAGTATTCATGCATCAATTACATCACCACGAATTTGGGCTTGCTAACTAAGCCCGTTCAAAAATAAGTAGGTGAGGAGACCTTTTGAAAAGCAATGTGTACAAAAGAATATTCCTTTTTTAATATTCCAGACCAAATTAAAAACTTAAAAAAGGAGGGAGTATAATGCTACAAGCCAGAACACTGGATGTTAAAATTATTTGGTCAAATGAATCTATAATCAAAATAACTATGTGTACTAATATAATGTTAGTTTTGCCAAGAAATGTGCATCCTGTGGAATATGAAAATGGCCATGTTTATATGGTGGGTGGGCCACACTACGCGCTAAGATATGGAGTTTACAGCTTACATTCTTGTAAAGATATTCTTAGATATCCTAAAGTGTTAGCTCTACCCTTATTGTCTTTTTATGAACCGTCTGTGTAGTTGTTCAATAAGAAAGATAACTTTTGAAGCCACAAATTTGATATTACCAGGCAGGTTATTGATGTGTTTTCCAAATATAATGTTGGCATAAAATCGCCTAATATACCGCGACCTAAAACATTTAATAAGTTACCAATTGATATTAAGCAATGCTCCAACATCAATTAGTTGATGTTACTATGCCACCTCATGATTTATTTTTATTTATTTTCGGTAACCTAAGTTGACGAATCCTTTTCATGCATTTTTAAAATGATAATTTGAAAATAGTGTACAGGGCACAGCGTAAATGAACTAGTGCTGCTACATCTCTTGTACAGAGTAGCATTAAAGCAGAAATAGCACTCTCCTGTGGTTATCCACCCATCCACAGTGCAAACATGACCAGACCCGACAGGCTTTTATTGAAGTTTCTATTACAAAAATAAAATTGTTCATTCTTATAGCTTTTCCGGCTGCCTACTAGTTGTCACCAAAATAAATGCTACGTGCACTCTAGTATTTTTATATAAAGAAAAGCAAAGATTCAAATAGGGACATGTGATCCGAGCAATTTTTGATAATTTTATGATTACACAAATACTGAGAACGGAGCAAGTACATTGCAGTTAACATTACTATTTAAAGCACTATATTATAGGATTGCAATGTAGAGTACAGGCGTAGAATCGAGATTGTTCAACTAAAAAAATGACTGCGAACGCCTCAATATTTACAAAGCTATTCAAACCTGGAGTGCCAAGTATTTTCTATCGTAATTTTTACAAAAAAAATGTCACGTACTTAAAACATTTTAAAATAATTTTTTGGTTTTAGTGATCTGCCAAATAGGCGAAATGAAAGGTGTTTATCTATAATATATCTCGATTCGCAGCCCGGCAGAATTGGTAAGTGCAGACGGCTGTCTGACCCTGTGTGTGATATGTTCCTAATGCTAAGCTACCTCCCATTTTATAAGATTTTCTAAGTGACAAGGAATCGCTCATTCTATCATTTCGCAATTGGGACGTATTATACATTTGGAACTCTCTCTGAGGTCCGTATATTCACTAAGTAGTCCATACATATCATACAATATCAGGAAAGCGTAATTTCACAGACCAATAAACAAAGTTGTTTCCAAGTCGTAATACTCTTACAATCGAAAATGGACAACTTTTTTCTTGCCTTTTATTCAGCCCGACGACGTTTTTTGCATTATGTTTGTAGAAACTTAGTGAATTCTGGAACTAGGGTAATAAGGGTTACATTTATAGTGGTTCCACGAGGCTGAGTGCCTTTTGAGGAATGATCTCTCCTTGGATTTGAAACTTGGAATAACTTGGGGGTTTAGGATATTTTCAAAAATTCCTACATTTTAACACGTAAAACGCCAAGCAAAATGTTAGAGGCTAAAGCGCCAAAGTCATGTTTCCAACAAATAATGTCTTTGATCTACCGTCTACGTCAAAAGCTGACACAAAACGGGAACGACATGTACTGAAAAAAAAAGAAGGAAAATCATATGAAGTCAGATGGTATTATAAAGGATGGTATAATAAAAAAATAAGGGGTGAAATACCGAAAAATAAAATTGCAAAAGTTACCACATATTGTGACAGTTGTGAAGGGAATCACCACTTTTGCCTTGACTGTTTCGGAAAAAGTCATAAATAAATGAAATTATAGTATATTTTGTATCCCTATATCATGGCTTATTTTATATATATATGTATATATACAGCAGACGCTCGATAACGTAAACATGGGATAATGAAAACTTGCGCTAATGTAAACACAAACTTCGTTCTATAGGATCAAACGGAGCGCGCGATAACGTAAACAATGTGTACGCTCGATAACGTAAACAACTCTCGGCGCACGGAAACAGCGCGAAGGTAAATGCTGAAGCCTCGATGATTTATGTCGGGCGTCGGGGAGTCCCCGATTTATGATGTAGAGTGTAGGGGATTCACCTCTGCGATAAAATACGACAAACTCGGTCAGTCGTATGATCGTTTAGGATACGTTTATACGTACGTATGTATTTCATTTTTGAACTTAAGTGAATACATTGCACGCGTTAATATATTTTACGACTATGGCATCCACATCCTATAAAAGAAAGTGTTTAAAGTTGAGTGAGAAAGTGAAAATCATAGACGAAGTTGCACTAGGTGAGGGAATGACACAGTTAGCAAAAAAATATGGAGTATCGAAAGCAACAATCTGTAAAATTAAGCGTATGAAAACTCAAATTTTACAAAGAACGTGCAATACATTTGGAGGTCCGGGAAAAAGAAAAACTTTAAAAAAATGCGAAGGCACCCTAAAATTCCCTATATAAGTGGTTTTTAAAACAACGGGAAAAGCATGTCCCAGTTAGTGGCGAAGTACTTAAACAGAGAGCGAGACTGTTAAATGAAAAACTGAAAGAAACTGAAAATTTCGTAGCTAGTGATGGCTGGCTATAACGATTCAAAACAAGATATGGAATTCGACTGCTGTCTATATCTGGTGAAAAATTATCAGCACAACCACAATTAGTGTAACCATTCAAAGAAAAATTGATGTAAACAATTACCGAGCTAGATTTGGAACAAATTTACAACGCAGATGAAAGTGGCCTTTATTGGAAAATGTTACCAGAGAAAACCTATGCTGCATCATTTGAAAAATCTGCCCCGGGAAGAAAGCCGAAGAAACAACGAATAACGTTTCTAGCCTGCACTAATGCTAATGGTTCACACAAAATAAAGCCACTGGTAATTGGGAAAGCAAAAAATCCGCGCTCATTTAAAAATGTTAATATCCCTGTTGATTATGACTGTTCAAAAACCGCTTGGATGACTAGCAGTATATTCCTGAAATGGTTCCACAGGTGCTTTGTCCCTCAGGTATGACAATCAATTATCACAAATGTTCTATTCATAATTTGAAGATGTGTTTTCAATTTGTAGGTAAAAGGTTTCCTAAAACAATACAAGCTTCCAATAAAAGCGTTGTTACTATTGGATAATGCACCAAGTCATCCTCCCGAGCAACAACTGAGGAGCAGGGATGGGTCAATTTTCTTCATGTTCATGTCGCCCAACGTAACACCGTAAATTCAACCGATGGACCAGAATATAATAAGACTCACCAAACTATACTATAGGAAGTTTCTACTTGTCTTATCAAAGAATCCTGAAAACTTATCTGAGGCTTTAAAAAAAGTAACATTACGAGAAGCTGTTTTAGATTTACATATGGCCTGGAATGAACTCAACCAGCAAACTATTCAAAAATGTTGGAACAATCTCTTTTGTACCAATAATGAAGATGATGAAGAAGACGATGTCCCCTTAAGCGTAATTAGAGAACGTTTGCGATCCAATAATGATAATGTTATTAGTGTGTCATTGGATGTTGTTGATTTATTGAAAACAGTGAATCCCAACATTGGTTGTACTCCTGCTGATATTAATTTATGGAACGAAGATAAGCAGACGAATGATGCTGATAAGGAGGAGGATATGGACAGTGAGGATGATGATGAGAACGATCCCATTGAAGTCAGAAGTGTAGTGACTGACGCGCAAGCTATACAAGTTTTTAACCAAGCTTTAGATTGGGCTGAAAGAAAGGAAGTTTCATACACGGATATTTTAGTTCTTCTTAAATTACGGGCGCAGGCATTGGAAGACAATGCTAAGCGCAAATTTACGCAGACAAAAATTGTTAATTATTTTTCTTCTAATTAAAAAAATACTTATCGCTGTTAGAATATTTGTTTATTTTGTTATAAATATTATGTATTGAACGTTTCTTTTAATAAATCAAATATTATATAAATCACGTTTGCTAATGTAAACATTTCGATAATGTGAACCACACTTGGATTAAATTAGTTTACATTATCGAGAGTCTGCTGTATATATATATATATATGCATTTTCACCAGAAACATATTTGTTTTTGTCAAAGTTGTTGGGTAGATTTAGTAGGAAATAAATGATGTGAATAAAAAAAATTGAATAACTCTGAAACAAAAATACTCCAAAAAGTTGTCAGATGGGTATAATGCATACAAGCCATAGCAGTGCATATCTAACGCCTAAATGAATTTGAATATGGACCTCTGGCTGGAGTCACCGTGGAGATAAATTGAATACAAAGCGGTCCATACGGACCGTCGTGGCGTGATAGGCCCGTTGTCAAGCGGTCCCATGGCACCGCCATGACGTTTAACGTGTTAAAATTTCCGAAATCACTGAGTCCTTAAGATAATTACATTTTCAGGATATTGAATATTAAACTAGATTGGATATTCTTTATTTTCAAAATTGTCGAAACAGGATTTTCAAAATCGTCAAAAATTTGAAAATAAAGTTTTTAAAATCCTCAAGACCACGAAATTTTTAGGATATTGAATATTAAACTGAACCGAATATTTTTTCAATTTAATATAATTCTCAAAATCCTCAAAATTTTCAAGATTCACAAAATTTTCAACATTTTGATCCTTGAAAATTATAAATATCTTGAAATATTGAAACTTTTGACTTTCGAAAATAATGAAAATTTCCCCAAACTTCGAAAACCTGTGATAACAATTGTTACAAACTACTGCAAAATGTAATTGCAAATCATTTTTTGAATGTTCCTCAAGGTAGCATTATTGTCAGTTCTCACTCAATCCTCAAGGAACATCTATAAATGTCACCTTAAGACATCGTAGTGAAAAATATGAATCTCTCTTTTCATATATACATTAATTTTGAGTGTAATTTATGAAGCCTGAATACTGACTTTGAAAGGCTGTCAATCCTGTACCTATTTAACAGCAGGCGACCTTTTTTTATCATTATTCCAACAAGAATAATTTTGTATCAGTTTAATATACAACACAAGTAATCACTGTAAAACTTACTTAGACCCAGCACCTTTACTTAAACCCTAGCCAGTCTTTGAATTTGATACTACGAAATAGCTACCCGCTGAAACATGAATAACTTTAGTCAAAGTCAATATTCAGAATTCATTTAAATCTATTTCATAGAGTTTGTTCATAATACACTCATTCTTTAGAGAATACTACCATGTACTTTTCAAAAATTGCACCTAAGTAGTTCTTTGTATTTCCATTATACGTTCATATTAGTGTGTATGAGCTAGGATCTGGATCAAATATGCTGGGTGCATCTGTTTGTAACGAAAAATCCGTTCGTTTCGCATTTTTTAATTGAAGTTGCTACTATTGACAATTATCCTATCTACCAATGAATAATAATTTTGGATAGTGACTAGTAAGAATCTGTATTCAAGTTGTACCATATATACATTTTTGACGCTAATGTCGGTCGTGTGGCAGATTCAAAATACACCGATGCCTGAAACTTGTCATGCAATGCATTCATATAAATATACTGTCATAATCTTAGAATCATCAAAAATATACTTACTTTCAATGAAGGAATGTTAGATATACTTAACCTACGTCAATACTAGAATACACAGTTGTATGCATATTTCGAATAGTTTAGATTTCTATCCATTTGTATTTTCAACTAAGATCGATCGAAATCTGACACTCCTGATCGCTTTCATTTCTGTTAAGGTTGCTGGTAAGACTGATGTTTGACCACAACACATTTAGACGCCACCTACCCTGCGGCGCTCTGGAGTACTACAAGCAGTCAAGGCTCAGGTCTAACACCTTAGATCCTTAGAATGGTAAGATGGCACCCAAGGTTTTACTTAAATTCGCCTGAAGGTATAGAGGAGCAAAAAATTTCGAGAGTCATTGACTTCGGCGAAAAAATAATATATATGGGTGAATATACGTTCTTTTGATTTACAGTGTCAATTAAGAAAAATAGCTGTTTTCATATTGATATGTCACAAGACTATACGTTATGTGATACATATTTGACAGAGTCAGATAATATTTGATTGACAGTTTTTATAGGTACCAGGGATAGATCTGTGGGCCAGGGGGGTGACATTTAAACTATGAAAAAGTTACTTTAACCGTTAGATAAGTACCATTAGCTAAGTAAATTCAATAGTTCATCGGTTTTGAAACAAGACTTGAGTTTGGATAGAGGATCGCAGACTTTGCTTTCAATGTTTACATTTTTAATTATAAAGCAATTAAAACAGTAGAATGTAGAAAAAAAATAGTCAAAAAACAATTGACCTCGAAAAAGTTACATATATCATGCCATTTTTATTCAAAAATCGTTGTTTTTTACATAGTTTCAGTAATCCATTGAAATTCACAAAGATATACTTATTAGAAACACTGGCAAAAGGGTATCTGCCTAATCGCAGGTCTGGTACACGGACGGCTCGGTCACCGAAGCGAGTTCTGGCGCCGGATTCTCTGGGCCTAGAACTAGACTATCTCTGACTCTTGGTGGATTCACCACTATTTTGCAGGCGAAAATCTTTAAGATTCTAGCTTGTGTATCCCGCATTTTGGAGGGGGAGAGCCTAGGAGAAGAATAACAATATCCTCCGACAGCCAGGCTACAATAAAGGCATTAAGAGCCTTGTCTCGCAGCGAGGCATCCGGTATCGTTAATGAGGGTACCGGGACACTCTGGGATAAAGGACATTGAGACGGCGGACGCTCTGATGAAGAAAGGATCAGCCAGCAAGCTCGTTGGACCTGAGCCAGCTTTAGGAGTGCCCGCGCAGATAGTTAGGAGGACAATAGAGAAGTGGATTGCAAGACAACACTCTCAGAAATGAAGTATCTCCAGACATCTCCGTCAGGCACGAGAACTCATTGTAGGGCCTAGTGCTAAGGATGGACGTTTCATGCTAAGGTTGCTGGTGTGGCTGAGGATCCCTTGTGTGAGTGCTGCGGGGTAGAGGAAGAGACCTCGGCGCACGTTCTGTGTCACTGTGAAGCTCAGGCAGACTATTCTAGAGTCCAATACTTTTGACCCCCAGGACGTCAAGGAACTTGGACTCAAGTGACGTTAAGGCTGGCAAGCCAACCCCTTTCTTCTGTAGTCTGTAGTACATTTTGTTAATTTTCAAGCACATTTTGCCCAAATCTTAATGTAAATGGTTACCATAATTTCATAATCTGTTTCAAATAAATCCTGATATTTTACACTATTTGGACGATTTATTTCCACAATTTGCTTAACTTAATTTTTTGGCGGAACATTGAAATACCAAATACCGTATATTCACCCATATACCAGTTTTGGCTAAAAAAATTGTTACACATTCGTGCTAATCTGACATTAATATTTAACATCACCAGCGCTAATGTAAATATCTCCACATCCCACTGGATTCTAGGATCTTGATAAAAAATCCCAAGAAAAATGTAGCATTCTCAAGACTCGACCGATCTTAGGAATGAGCGACCCCAATATCTCGCAGCTCTAAACATCGTAAGTGCTAATAATTTATTCTGTATTAACAGATATCTAAATTTGTATTATCCTCCGAAAAACACCGCTAATCCTCTCACTCTGTCTTCATTCTTCTTTTTCTTCAACGGAAATTTACGGAAAGTGCCGAAGAGCTCGGCCGTATTTCCCTAACAATAATAATTACACTAAACTAAATATGACAGTACAAAATTACTTTGGTCTGTATAAAATACTAAACAGTGGGAATATATTCTCGCCGGTGGCGGTCAACAGATGGCGCTGTAAAGTGTTTCACTTGCTTTTTTCGCCGCTCGATTCGGAATGATCGCTGTTGTTCACCTGTGGACGAGCAATTAGTTATTAACTGTATCGCAGATATTCAAGAAGATTTCGGTTGGAAAATTACGGAATAATATTAACCCTTAACTGGTATCGTCATTTTTACTTGCGAAAAAAAATGCTGAGGCTACCAACTTCGGAAAAGCCATTACTGATCAGTTTTTAGCCGTGTATAACAGGTTCGTACATGTAAAACAAACAAGCACTCTTACATGAAAACTATTTATGTCCAAAAACAAATAAAAATATTGCATCTGAAAATGAATATATGACGAATTAAAAATGCGCCGGTTTGACGATACCAGTAAAGGGTTAAACTGCAATTCTAGTAGGAACGCACATTAGTACGCAATGTTTACTAAAACGTTGGTCGGCTCTTGGAAATAGCGATCTTGGCTTGGCGATTCGCTCAGAGATGGATGTGTGTACCGAGACGGTGTTGCCCAACTACCATAATATGTTTAAAAACTGCTACATTATACAGAGCTGAATGGAGTTCAGTTCTTTTCATGGGTTCTGCTGGTTACGTCAAAAGGCATACGATATAAGTAAAGATATCGTCATATCTGGATAACTGGCAACCATGTCAAATAGACCCACTATTTCTCAAATGAGCAATTCGAGGGGAGGCATGTTACAACAGAAGTAAATTTGAATGAAAAATGCGTTCACAACAAGTAATGGTCAATGAATTCATGCAAAAAGGATTATCTATCTGGCAACACTGCATTTATAAATAAGAACATCACGTGTTTAGACGCCACCATATCACGGCTCGGCTCTGATATTGAACCAGACTCGAGCTTACTAGTGGTTATTCTTGCATGTTAATTGTTTTATGAAAAAATGTAGGGCATCTACAACAGTAAATACTGCGCATAACGTTAATGAATTTGATATAAGTAATCCTCGAACATCAGACTTATCCTTTTTGTCTCCAGGACATAAAATGCAATGTTTTGCTTTTTGCAAAAACTGACCCGCCTATACTATAACTGTAACTAAAAGAAAATAACAGTTGAGTGCGAATAATAACACCCTTTAAGAATTGCTAAAAACCAACCAACTTTTTCAATAATTGCATTCATTAAAGCTTGGACTTTATGTGGGTTTGTCGTCATTCTGAGGAAAATAAAATACTGAGTAGATGAAATGCTTAATTATGAGTGTAAGACAAACCTGGTCCAAAAATGTTGATATATATAAAGTAGTGGACAAAATAATATAGACAAATATGAATATTTACCTAAATAGCTTTAGAAAACGAATTCATACTTCATTTCTCCATGAACAAATGCGTTTATTAGTATAAAAACTAAATTCCTTGTTTTTACAGTATCTGCAATGAACACAATACAACTCTGAATATAAGCATTTTTTTATGAGGGACAAAAATATGTACACAAACTCTTTCCAACATTAGTTTAGTACAGTTTCGTGTCAGAAGAGGATTAGTTTGTGTTCATCAAGTATTGTGGAATAAGTTGAGTGATTTTAAGACCATGCCGCGGGGTCCAGAAATTTCTTTCGATGTGAAAACTAAGATCATTGAGTTATATAAAGATCGTCAACGTCAAGTCGAAATTGCCAAAAATTTGATGCTGAAGCGTAAAGCAGTTTGGGCAATATTGAACAAGTATAAACAAAAAGGTATCTTGGAAGCCTCTAAGAGAAGTGGTCGGCCTAGAAAACTAAATGCTAGATCAGTTAGATTAATAAAAGTAATTTCGTCCAAAGATCCGTTTAAAACCCCAAATAAAAGCCGAAATCGAGACAAAGTGAATTGCCAGTGTTTCTACGAAAACTATACGTAGAAGATTAAATGATTTGAAGTTATTTGCACGTCGCCCAAGTAAGAAGTCGCTAATCTCGAGGAAAAACCGTAAGGACCGATTACAATTTGCACGGTTGCATCTTGATTGGAGCATCTGTGACTGAAAGATGGTATGTGTCAGTGACGAATCCAAGTTCAATATGTTTGGATCAGATGGTGTTCATTACGTTAGACGTCCTAGTGGGCAAAGATTGAACCCCAAGTACACTTTGCTCCCTGTCAAACATGGAGGCGGGTCTGTTATGGTTTGGGGGTGCTTTTCGGGGTTTGGGATGGGACCTTTACATAGAATAGATGGCATTACGGATAAGTTTGTATACACAGACATACTAAAGCATGTCATGTTACCCTATATGGAAGACAATATGCCCTTAAGATCAATCTTCCAGCAAGATAATGACCCGAAGCACACTTCAAATCTCGCAAAGAAATTCTTTCTGGATGAAAAATACCAGTTCTCAAATGGCCTTCACAGTCTCCCGATATAAACCTCATTGAAAATCTATGGGAATACTTAGATAAGCAAATACGAGATAAAATTATCCAAACAAGGCTGAACTTTTTGCCGCTTTAGAGCAAAAGTGGAAACAGATTGATGAATCTTATATCAAGAAACTTCTACAATCTATGCCGAGACGATGCCAGGCGGTGATTGATAATAATGGTTATGCTACAAAATATTCACACAAACACGGTTGGTTTTCTATAATGTTTTGCTTTGTCTATATATTTTTGTCCTTCATAGTTCCAGTTTTTTCAATTAGTTTTTTATTGAAGGGAGTCTAATGAATTGATTTATGTATAAGTGAGTATTATGCTATAACGAATTATGTATACAGGTTAGTGTATTAATAAAACAAGTTAAAAAAGACATACAGCACAATATTAATGTCTATATACTTTGTCAATTACTGTATATATATATATATATGAGACGGGATTAACTAAACGCAAGCCAGTTTTTCAACAGAAAAATGTTAAGAATTTCTAAAACTAGAAGACTTTTAATATAAAACAAAAAATGTCCATATAGTAGGTGAAAACGTGACCTATGTCCAGTTGCAGGATTCAATTTCTGAACACCTTGTATATAGTATTATGAAACACGTCAAGGTTTTAGAGCATTTTGAAAAAAACCTCCTCATTGGACTTTCCTAAAGAAATGTTAATAGTATATGTTCATACTATAAAACACGTGCGAGAAATAATAATTATAACGCGTAACCTGCGTATTATCATTGGGGTTTTCCCAATTTTTATAATTCGCTATAATCTATTGGATTCAGCAAACAGGAAGAAACTCTAGTAAAAGTCTAAAAATATACATCAGAAAAACCAACATGCACAAAATTCAAAAATGGGTAGAATAGATCCTCAGACTACATGTTACATTTTATACTGAAATTTGCTCGATAATATAAAAATATTAATTCAAAAAGGTAAAGTAAAAATTAGACCAACCACATAAAAACACCACTTTCGCCTTTCCAAAGAATAGTAAATCGTCACTTGTATGGCGCATGCATTTTTTCTTAAGAGCAAAACAAAGCAGTCATAGAACCGGCGTGGCAAATTATTGCAAAAGATCGTTAACAACAACAGAAGTATTTGCCTGCAAAAGTAAGATTATTCAAACACACATGCAGGCTTCCTAGACAAGAACGTATTTACAAAATACATACGTCCTTTGGGGATTCCATGTCGCTGCATCGTTCAATCTTACTCCACTAATATCTGAAAGAATTATTAATAGTTCAGGGGAGCATCATTGAAGCTCTCTATTAGTGGCAAGAACTCACTGTTAAGCGTGAAGCTAAGCAAGAAAAGTTTGCCTATCTCTATGAATACATTATCGTCGCATCTCGCATTCATTCTTCTTCCAAGCCATCAACTCATATTTTAATACGTAAGTTTACGTGACGTAACAGTGATCTGCTTTTGCCAGTCAATCCTAGATTTCTCATTGACAGTGCTCACCTTGCAGTGGTACAGGTATGTATCGAGTGGAAAAAGGAGCATAATCAGTGCACCAGGAATTGCATTTGAGAAAGTATTGTGTGACAATCTATTAGATTTTACAACAGTTTATACACAAATAGGATTGCTGATTGCTTCCGCCGCTGTTATAAGGTTTGAAAGTCAAATCTATAAAGGAGTGAGTTATATTATGTACCTCTAGTAGGACATATGCCATCAATCTTAAAACACAAGAATTTTAAAAATTTCTTCTGAAGTTTATCGCCATCATCATTATATTGCTTATAAAGGGTGTCTCAATAAGAGCGCCGGATTTGATCTTCAAGAAAAACACAATTTCTTTTCGAATTAAGCGAGTATTTATATTTCAACGTGAAGAGGAATAGTTGCGATTAAACGTGAAATTGGACATCCGGTAAATGGCCACCACGAAACCTCTGGCACAGGGTTAGTCGTTTATTAAAACTCTGGATAAAGTTTTCGCAGAACGGTGTCTCTACTTCGTCGATAACGCGCCATATCTCGTCTTCAAGGGGCGGCTTGTTCGCATACACCTTTTCCTTCACATAGCCACAGAATAAGAAGTCCATTTGCGTTAGATCGCACGATCTTGGTGGCCAAACCGAGAGATGACAGGGTCCGGAAACTTGATCCGCAGTAACACCATTGTATCGCGTGCTGTGTGGTAGGTCACACCGTCTTGTTGAAAGAACATATCCTCCACATCAATTCGATCCAACTGGAGCCACAAAAAATCAGTCAACATTTTGCGATATCGCACACAATTAACGGTTACCGCAGTTCCAGCTGCCTTTTCGAATAAATCACTCCGCCACTCCACAATGCGCACCAAACGGTAACTCGTGGCGGATGCATTGGTTCGAGGATTTTCAGAACCCCAAATCAGGCACTTCTGTTTATTGACGTACCCGTTCAGTTAGAAATGTGTCTCATCAGAGAAAATGAGTTTCTTCGAGAAATCCGCATCAATTTGGTGGTGCTCCAGCGCCCAATCAACGAATTCATGCGCACGGTTCATTGACTTGAGTTCTTGCGTCAGTTGAACCTTGTACGCATGCAAGCGCAGATCTTTTGTCAACATTCGTTGCAGAGTGAGTCTGCTAAGGCTCAATTCTTGGCCACGATGCCGAATGGAAGTGGCTGGATTCTCGGCCACACTTTCCCGCACTGCGACTATATTTTCGAGGAACCGATCAGGACGGCGACGAACAGTGGTCTCCACATTCAGCAACGTGTGAATTTTGTCTCAAATTTTGCGACTCATCTGGCGCATTATAGCGACCGAAAATTGTACGTAATTTGCGAACTGTTTCCGCGTAATTTTCTACATTTTTGTAGTGAGTTTTCACAATAATTAAACGGTGCTCGTTTGAATACTGCTCCATAACGTCTATTCGCGTGGTCTCTACATGACAGCTGTCATCAAGTAAACACCACACCATTTGTACGAAAAAAATTGTAATGGCAAACTCAAATCCGGTGCTCTTGTTGAGACACCCTTTATATCAGACTCCATATCAAAGATCCAGATTCGAGTTTAGACCTAACCAAACTAAACTATAAAGTACATAAAGTAAAAGGATTGAAATTTTGAAAATTCCTGATAGAAAAACCATAGGTTTTGATAGCGCTTGTATAGTTTGATTAATATGTTCATTGAAAGTTAATTGTTGATCGAAACAGATACCTAAATCTTTAATAGTTTCTCAACGCTCAAGAATACTTCCATCCATTGCATAATTGTATAACAAAGCGTTGGTTTTCCTGGAAAAAGTTACTACTCTACATTTACTTACAGTACCGAGCAAAAGTAGAGAAACAAACCACATTAGAAATAAAAATCCAGAAAGATTTACTCTAACCCAAAACTGTTCACTAAAGTTTTTTATTTATGACTACCTCAAGATAATGAAATGCTTATCTTTGTATACATTATTTTTCTTTTCAATACAATATGGTCGGTTTTTTTGTTCAACGAGCAAAAGTAGAGAGACATTTTGTAAATATTTAGTTTATATTTCGTCGTTGATTAGAATAGGTGTTATTTTTTAGTGTATTTGGTAAAGTGTAGTTCAAAAACATGGCCAGAGGAATTACATTGAATTTGCAAATAAAAGAACTGATTATTTTAAAATATCGATCAGGCATTAAACAAGCAACCATAGCCAAACAGCTGAATTTAAGCCAATCGGTAATTTGCAAAACTATGAAGCTGTTCTGCCTCAGAAAATCGTTGGTAAGCCCTCCTAAGACTGGTAGACCGCGAAAAACTACACCTAGGATTGATAGGAAAATTAAAACACTTGCTCTTAAAAATCCATTAACTGCTGCTGTCGACATAAAAGCTCAACTTGAAGAAGTAAATATTGGTGTCCACACTGTTCGAAGACGTTTAAGGGAGAGTGATTTACCAGCATGGAGACCATCTAAAAAACCCTTTATTTCCAAGAAAAATCGGACCGCCCGTCTTCAATTTGTTTACGATCATTTGAACTGGTCAGAAACAAGGTGGATTTCTGTATTATTACATTTTATGGGAAAGTCGACCTAAAAACAAGAGATTTGATCCTAAGTTCACTTTGGGCACAATCAAACACGGAGGCGGGAAGGTTCAAGTATGCGGTTGCTTCTGTGGTCTTCAAATGGGACCCATCGTCAAAATTGAAGGAATTATGGACCGGTACAAATACTTGGAAATATTAACTGATACCATGCTACCTTACGCAGAAGAAAACATGCCTCTACACTGGCGGTTCCAGCACGAGAACGACCCCAAGCATACAGGAACATAATAAAAACATTTTTTGCAGATCACAATATTAATGTCATTAAGTGGCCAGCTCAGAGTCCAGACCTTAATCCCCTAGAGAACCTATGGATTTAGTTGATAAAAAAATTCAGACTGAACATCCAGAAAAGTTCAAAAATGGTGCCGAACTACTTTAAACAATCGAAGTCGCCTGGAATTATACTAAGTGACATATAAATCCGAACACCCAGTTTAAATGGTTTTATTTTAATAAAAGTTGGTGAATGTATTTATCTTACTGTAAATGACAAGTGAAAAAATTTTCAGCCTTAACAGTTGGACATTCCGGTTTTTATACTGTTTTTTTTTTAATTCACTAACGCTCTAAAAATGAATATTTCAGCCGCAGTAAAGAATCAACGTTGGCGAATTTTGGTTCTTGACATCCTTTACGATCGGTTACGATGCCTAGAGTACGGAGACCTGTACGATTTCGTCAACTTAGTGAGTTTGATAGGGGCCGTATAGTGGGACTTCGGGAAGCTGGACTTTCTTTTCTGGCAACTGCAGTGTTAGAGTGCAAAGAAGTGTAGACACTGTGGTTAGGGGTTGTCAGGCATGGCTTCGAGAAGGCCGTAGAACAACAGACCGTGAAGATCGCCGCCTAAGATTATTGGCCTTAAGGGACCGTTTCTCCACTACCAGGTCCATTGCAAATGAATGGTTTGCAGAACACGGAAGACCTATTGGCATGCGAAGTGTTTACCGACGAATGAGAAGTTTTGGCTTGTTTTCATACCGGCCACACTGGGTCCTCCCTTTAACTCGAGAACACCGACGTAATCGCCTTGAGTGGTGCAGACAACGGTCACTCTGGGATCAGGAATGGAACAGTATTGTCTTTAGTGACGAGTCTCGATTTTGTTTAGGTATGCACGATGGTCGTGCCAGGGTTAGAAGGCGACGTGGTGAAAGGAGGAATCCACAGTTTTTTGTTGAAAGACATGTTCATCACACTGTTCTAGTTATGGTTTGGGGTGCTATAGCTTATGGTTCCAGGTCACCTTTAATCTTCATCAGAGGTAACATGAACGCGCAGCGTTATATCCACGAAGTTCTAGAACCCCATCTTTTACCCTATCTTGACACCCCGGCAGATGTTGCAAGAGTCACAATAGACTTCTTTCAACATAATGATGTCACATTGTTACCATGGCCACCAAGATCTCCCGACTTATCCCCAATTGAGCACGTGTGGGATATGATGGGTAGGAGATTGCTCAATTTGCAACGTCCTCCTCAGACTCTAGAAGCACTTCGACAGGAGTTGGTGGTTGCCTGGAATGAGATGCCACAGGAGGACATTGACCACCTGATCAGAAGCATGCCTAGGCGCATTGGAGAATGCGTAGCACATCAGGGTGCATCCACACATTATTAAAGGTCACAGGGCTTTAAAGCAGTGCAATCATTTTGAAATTTTTATCATTTACTTATTATGCTTCATTAAGTACTTATACAAAATTTTATTAAAATAAAACCATTTAAACTGGGTGTTCGGATTTATATGTCACTTAGTATATATTCCAAAAGAAACAATAGATAGCCTAATTGGTTCTATGAGAAAAAGATGTCTAGCAGTTATCAAAAATAAAGGTTATGCAACCAAGTATTAGCTTTTTTGTATATGACAATTGCTTTGTATATTATGTTTCTCTATTTTTGCTCGCTGTATTTTCTAATAATAATTGTTAGCATAGTTTTATTAAAGCAGAAATTTTATTTTCATTTTGGCTTTGAATTACATGTTACATTAAGTTCTAATAAAACATAAGTGTTTAGTTTACTTTAATAGTTTAATGAAATCTTAAAAAAATAAAATGTTTCTCCACTTTTGCTCGGTACTGTATATATTACGTCCTTTTTTAGATTTTTTCAACTTCTTGTTTGCAGCAGTATTCTCAATACTTTTCATCTGATAATTTCATGGTGTGTGAAGAGATGACTAAAAAACATGGTTTTCATTTTTTTGTCAAAAAATGCATTTATTGTGCATTTTATTGCGCATTTTTTCTTCAATCGGAACTTGTTAAAAAATATAAGTAACGCTGTGAAATTGTGTGTGAATATTCCTCTTTTATGAAAGAATGGAACGAGTAATTACTTTTGTTCTTATCACTTTTCGTTTTCGAAAAATCTTTGCTTTTCTTGATAACTCAACTTATAAATAATTTCAGAGCTGTACTTATATTTGTTAACAAGTTCCAAATGAAGGAAGAATGCACAATAAAATGCACAAAAAGCATTTTTTGGCAAAAAAAATGCAAAACATTGTTTTTTAGTCATATCTATACACACCATGAAATCATCAGATGAAAAGGATTTTGAATACTGCTGCAAACAGGAAATTGAAAAGAAATCTAAAAAAGGGACGTGCCACCTTAAGGCGAAGTTGATTCTTGACGCAATGATATATAAACCTGGAAACATAATATCTTGTCGAAAATGGATGCACTCAAATTGTTCGATAAACGCGAACAGCTGACAGAGAGCATTCCCCATTTACTGCGCGCAAGAACTGACCTCCTGTTGCGCACAGTCCGACGCATACCGTATGACCGCAATCCCAAAAAATTCTCCATAGAAAACGACCTACCTTGCCAACTCCATCCGGTTGTTCCTGCTTGACAATAGTGAGGTCGGGAACCCGCGACAACCCTGCGACAGCCGCTGCCGAGGAGGTGGGAGTACTGTTAGAAGGCGTCGACGAAATCAGGTGCTTGAAGGCGTTCGTGTTGTTGGTAGATGGCGTGTCGGGTAGGATAGAATCGACTTCTTCTTCTGATTCACCTGCTGTCATATCGAGTCATTCAGTTTGAACTGATACGAGAATATCTACAGGTGTCCAAATATTCCGTGAACATAAAATTACGAAGTCCAGTTTAGAGTTTTCGGTAAAATTCAAATATTAGAACGTCTAGCAAAACATATTTGTTCCAAATTTCATTCAAATCGGACTATCGGTTCCAACAATGTCTGAAAAAAATGTGTCTAGAAGAGAAACAAGAACACTTTTGCATAGAGGTAAATCATATCCAGTCGAATTACTTTGAGCGTAAAAATAGAGTGCCCAGTGGTAAAGTTTACATTTCAAATTTGAATTACGCGGCGACCGTATACGCGAGGGAGTGGGGAGAGGTCTTGATCGACGCGTCCAGCGCAGTGTTGCCATACGTAGCGGAATTCCGCTATTTGTAAAAATTAGCCCAAAATGTAGCGGAATTTATTACATACAAAACTATCATATTTATTTCACTGTTTTCACGTTAATAACGTTCTAAATCCTAAATAGGCAGTGGCTAGAGTCTGATTTATTGTCACATTAATAATAAAATTGGTGCATTTGGTGCCGCTTGAGCCATCTAGGAACAGAGAAGAGAATTATTCCACTTGCCTTTTTTTTTCAATAACAGATGGCGTACGTACTGCTTTCAATACTAATCGTTTCTAACAGGTCTCAGCAGGCAGACATAATATTAGGTTTCTCGCTTTGTATTGTATTTTTCAGCTCTGGGTATATACTGTTTAGTTTCGTTTATATTAGTGTTCTTATTTTTGTGTTGATCATTTTATTGATATATCATGTGCTGCAGATTTTAATATTAAATCTACTGGTAAGTAACAAAATTGCTTAAATATCTAACATATTATAGTTTGATCCAGAAATAAATCTTAGTCGCGAAATTTGTTTTTAACGCTTTTTCTTCTGGAAAATAGGAATAATGGAAAGGCGACAGCAGACCATTAACGATTTGTTTGATAAAAATCCTTCTAAAAAACAAACGGTGAAACCAAACGTGGCCGAACCATCCACTTCGACTGCATCTGTGTCGGACTCGGAGCATCACGAACCTGAATACAGACAAAATAGAAGAGCGGAATCTAGTGGAATCAGGTCTGAGCCTGATAATTCGACTTGCGAATCTCAGGATAACCAAGAGCCAGAGCAAAAGGTTAAGAAAAAGACACGAAAACAAATGTTTACTTCATCATGGCTAGAAGATCCGTTATTTAAAGGCTGGTTTGGACCTATTGAAAATGACAAGTTGAAAGCAAAATGTAAAGCTTGTAATCAAATAATGGGTGCTAAAAATCAGATTTAGTGAATCATTCGAAATCAAAAAGGCATGCCACTAATGTACAAGCAATTTCGAATGTAAGAACGTTAGATAGCACTTTTCAGTCTCGGGAAGCACGTGAGTTGGAAAAACGGCAAATATTTGCTTGCTTAAGATATAGTCTTTTAGTTGTAGTTTTAGAACTGTTGATCATATAACAGGAGTTAGTCAATTATGTTTTAAAGACCCAGATCTCTCTAGCTCACTTAAATTAAAAAGATCCAAATGCATAAGTATAATTAAAAATGTGCTGGCTCCTGTTATTAAAGACGAAATAATTTCATAATTGGAAAATAAACCATTTTCTATTTTATTGGATGAGAGTACAGACCTGAGCAATACAAGACTACTATGCATTCTTGTAAGGTATATTCATAAAAATTCAATTAAAACCCATTTATTAGATATAATTAAAATAAACGCAGATGAAGGTACCGCCAAAGGTTTATATTCTCTTTTTAAAAAATGCGTTATATCCAATCAAGTAAATATTACCAATATTGTTGGATACTGTTCCGACAACGCTAGTGTTATGATGGGCAATAACGAATCTTTCAAAACTTATCTTTTAAAAGATAATCCTAATATAATTGTCAATGGCTGCATTTGCCACTCTGCTCATTTAGTGGCGGTGGCGGCAGCTGAAAAGATTCCAAGCAACGTTGAAGCTCTTTTACAAAACTTATATTCTTACTTCTCAAGAAGCCCAAAAAGGCAGTGTGTTCTTGAAGAATTACAGGAATATTTCAAAAAGTCAAAATTAAAAATTTAAGCCCTAGTAAAACAAGGTGGCTTGCTTTATCCAAATGTGTTGATAGAGTTTTGGATCAGTGGGACATGTTGCTTAGCCTATTTAGATTAGCTTCCATTGAAGACAAAAATCCTGTAGCAAATGTAATACTTAATGAGTTACAGAATCCATTTGTTAAGGCGTATTTAATGTTTTTAAATTCGTGTTGCCCATTTTTAACCAATTTAATGCTCTCTTTCAATCAGAGAAAGTTATGCTCAATATCATATCAATAGAGAGTGAGCGATTTGAACGTCATCTATGTACAAACTTTATGCGACCAGAATATTTTAAAAATGAGAAATTATATAATCTAAATCCTAATGATCCCCACTGCTTATTACCAATTGAACAAGTGATTGTTGGTCCGCATACAATGGATGCAATAAAACACTGCAATAACACGGCAATCGAACAATTTAAATTAAAATGTGTCACATTTTACCAAAAATCTGTAGAAGAGTCCCTTAAAAGATTTCCTATCAAAGACAACTTCTTTCAGAGCTAAAGTTTCTCTCACCGGTTGATGTGATGAACAATCGTCTTATTATAAGTGATACCTTACATGACGCCGTTTTAAAAAAATTTGCCCTTCATATTGAAACCGAAAAGGCAATTTTGGAACTAAAGAAAATATGTATTTATTTTAATGATAGTGAGAAAGAGGGAATTTTAAAAACAAAAAGTAATGTCATTGAATTTTGGTCGTTTGTAAACGACCTCAAAAATTTTAATAACGAATATTTATTTCGCAATATAGGTAAACTGGCTCTAATCATTTTAACATTGCCTCATGGAAACGCTGATGTTGACCGAACTTTTTCTTATATGCTTGATTACAAAACAAAAAAAGAAATAAAATAATACCATCAACTTTGTCTGCACTACTTACAATTAAATTAGACTTGGAATCAAAAAACAGTGCTGTTTATCCTATAGTTTTAATGAGAATCATTTAAACAAATATAAAAAGAATTAATATAATGTAAACAAGGAAGAACAAGCTGAAGAAGAAGTAATTTCTGATTCTGACTGTGAATAAAATAAGCAAACGTAGGCATTTCCACGTTTCCGCTTCTTCTTTATCCTTATTTTTTGTTTTTTTTTCTATTAAGATTAAGATATTGGTGATAGTTTCTATTTTTTTATTAGTTCCTAATTCTAAACCAAAGACAGTTTTGTTTTTTTAGAGGTATACTTTTTATGTTTTTACGAAAAATTGCAATTATATTATGTTACTGTTTGTATTTTTAGTAGGGTTTTTAGACAGTGTTTAAAAAAAAGTAAATATGTAAAAAATATATTTGTTGTTTATTTAAGCCTCCCCCCCCCCTTAAATTTTTAGACCGTAGCGACATGTAGCGGAATTTTGCGATACGTGTGACGGATATTTTAAACTTCGCTCTGGCAACACTGGTTCAGCGTGCGGCTTAAATAGTCACAATGGAACGTTGGACCGGAGCGTAACGTACTTTTGCTATCGAGGCTTACTTTAAGAGTGATGATTCATACATCATCGGCATTCTATACGGAAGCATTCCGCTGCCTTGGAAATTCCTAGGTCAACACTGCATGGCATAATGAAGAAATAAATGGGTTTTCATCTTTATAAAATCCAAACCAATCCGTGCGTTAAAGGGAAGTGATTACGTATTACGGAAATCTTGTGCTGAACGGAAGTTGATTCTGTTTCCTACGCAGCGCAGACTCGTGGACATTGTTGTCAGTGACGAGGCCCATTTTCACTTAGACGGTTATGTAAACAAGCAAAATTGCAGATATTGAGAAACATCAACAACAGCTACATAGTCCAAAGGTGATTGTTTGGTGCGCCATATCCTCTAGCGGTATTATTGGGCCGTATTCCTTTGAAGATGGAAACGGTCATGAATTGACAGTCAATTCCGAGCGATACATGGACATGATTGACACTTTTTTGCTCCTATTATAAGAACAGAACGTCGATTAACAGAAACACATGGTTTCAACAGATGGGGCAACTGCTCATACTACCAGAGAAACGATGGACACGGTGAAAGCACTTTTTCCTCAGAAAGTTATATCGAAGTTTGGTGACATTCACTGGCCTCCTAAGTCACCCGACCCCACGCCATGCGATTATTTTTTGTGGGTTATCTAAAGTCAAAAGTGTATTCCAATAATCCACGAACCCTGGGGGAGCTTAAGACAACATTCGACGAGAAATAAACATCACTCCGGAACTCTGCAAGAGTGTTTCAGAATTTGGGCGCACGATTAGAAGAGTGTGTCCGAATATTTAAAAAAAAAAACGCCGAATTTAGCAATATGTTGATAGTAATAAATACTTTCTTTTCATTGAGTTTGTATTTTTTTTTCTTAAATCAAAAAGTGAACTTTCAAACTGGACACCCATAAGTAGCTTTCCTTTTGCAACTGGGTGACTCACCGCACAAGTGAGGAAAATGATTCTTCTCGGATGTCAAAAGGGAGAGTCAAGTGAGAATTCCATCTCACAAACACCGAACATGTATCTAGAAGTCAGTCATATGATTTTTGTCATTATTATCGATGCATTTCTAAAAATATGCAACTAAATGTTTAGAAAATCTTGACTCCGAAGTTCGCCAAGCCTCTGAGTTAAAAATATCTCAACTAGTAGTTGCAAGACTCGGAAATATTCAGAAAATAAAACTTCCTAAAATACATTATACACTAAGCTATAGCGCTTCACTCTAAAAAATCGTCAAAAATGCACAAATGTTTATTTGTATACGTCAATTTTTTGGAAATCGACTCAATTTTGGGAATAAAGGAACCTTCCAAAAACGCAAATACAGGGTATTCGATCCGTTCCTTCTTGTTTTAATCTAAAAAAACACACACTTTTTATGAGTGAGAAACCGAACTCTTTATTGACAATTGTAGGTCGGCCTTTGCCATTTATGTATGGAATATAACATCGTACATATGTCCACCGCGGCTTTGTTGACATGCCATCATCCGAACATCAAAATTTTCGATGACTTTTTGCAGTATTAGCGGGTCCACGATGCGAATGTTGCACTTAAGGTCTTGAATCGTGCGTGGGGCAGTCGCGTACACTTTACTATTCAAAAATCCCCAGTGGCGTTAAGTCGCACGATCTTGGAGGCCAATTCACGTCGCAATTTCTCGAAATAATGCGATCTGGAAATTTCTCGGCCAATAACTGGATTGTTTGGCGAGTTGTGTGCGAAATTGCACCGTCTTGCTGGAACCCAAGGTCGTTGGCATCAATACCTTCCAATTTCGGCCAAAAAAAAAAAACCGTTATCATACCACGATAACGTTCGGCGGTGACCGTAACGGCGTTTTCTTCTTCATCCTCAAAAAAGAACGTTCCAATGATGCGACCAGCCCATAATCCGCACCAAACAGTTACTTTTTGATCACGGAAAGGTTGTCCATGGATCTCATGTGGATTTTCCGAACCCCAACCCCAACCCCAACCCTACTGAGGTAAAAATGTGCCTCGTCTGAAAAGATGATTTTAGCCGAAAATCCATCTCCTTTTTCAAGCATCCAATTATCAAAAATACGCCGTTGCTGATGATCCGCTGGCTTCAACTGTTGAGTTAGTTGGATCCTATATGGGTGTAGGTGGAGATCAACATGCAAAATCCTCCATAATGTTGTTGACCTGATGTCCAATTCTTGCGAAATGTGTCTTATCGAAGTGTACGTACCGGACGGACATGATATATTCTACGACCTTCAACTGAGCCAGTTTCCTCAAAACGATTGATAATCCACCGAATTCCACGCTCTGTGGGACGATTATGTCTACCAAATTCAACACGAGTTTTAAAAGATCGTCAGTTTTCGTAATATTTTTGGACGACCAAAATGCGTTCTTGCGTTATTAAAGAATCCATAATAACAAATAGCAGACCTTAGACAGTCCATATGTGCTACACACATGACAGTTGACACATTTAACATGTCAAAAAACGGTAGATGAAAAAAAGAAGCAACAGATGGAACACCCTTTATAATCTAAATATTACTAGCTGAAATAACCCACTGCAAATCATTCCGCCAAATATCCAGTTGAGTACCCGGTACTTGGCTTTTTGAAAAAAGTCGTACTTGGTGCATCCCATTTTACTTTAGTTATTAACATGTGATTTCGATACCCCATTTCGACCCTTTTACATATAATTCACTCTATCGTCCATACAGTTGGGAATAGTAAATCTTACCTTCTTCGTACGATTCTGAAGCCCGTAACCTCATGTTTGCTTTGGAATCCGTGGAGGTGTCCATTTGTGACATGGTAATCAAGTAGTTAGAGAGCGTTTGGGGTGTTAACATTCAATTGTTCGGCAGCTCGGAATAAGGTGATCTCTTTGCGTTTCAACTTCAGCAGGACATCGGTGGGGCCCTGTTCTGTCCAAAAGTCGCGGACTCTGGAACTGCAGGTCAAAAAATAAGTTATGTACTAGACAGGGAAAAAGAGATACGTGACAAATAGGTATGCGCGCAAATCTCAATAAACCACCCCTACCAATATTAGGCCAGGATATCTAGAACATTAGAGTAACAAAGTGTAATACACTGTTTACAACAGAATTATATTTTTCAGCGTTCTATTCCATAAATATACTAGACTAGTCACATACAAGTACAAGCACTTGTATACAGTCAAATAATATATTAATCTCCATATCACCGGCTTGTAGGAAATGCCATCCTAAAACTAGAAGTGCCGCACTGTGAAATTACATTTCGTGGATATGTTGATTTGTAAAAGTGTAAAGAAGCACAGAAATCTTTTAATCGGTGCATTTGGCGACAAAATAATGAAAGCATGCGATATCTATAAATTAAGTGATGAGATGGCAACGTAACGATCGATCTGGCAACACTGGAGCCGCCGGGTTTGCGGGAAGTCAGGAGAGCATGTGATCCGCCTTCAGTACAAGTTTGAACTCGCTTGAGTCATTGGTTGTCCGTAGCGATTTTTTTTTGTAAATTAGTTTTTTCTATTGTGTTCAGAAATGTATATGACATCAATTTCGAGCAAGGGTACGCTATCAGGTTTTGCTTCCGACTTTTGCACAGTGCAACGGAAACTCTAGCTAAACAGGTCTACGGAGATAGTGTTTTGTGAAGGTTTTTCGGTGGTTTGAGGCATTTTCAGAAGACCTTCATCTTCAAGAACCGATGAAAATATCGACCGCATCCGGGATCCTGTAAGTTCAGATCGTCGGTTGACAATCAGAATAATCGGGGAAGAGTTCAGCAGATCAAGAACAACTGGGTGATTATGATAATGCTCCTTGTCACACAGAAATTCCAATGAACTAGTTTTTGGCCAGTAAAAACATTCCTGTGGCTCCTCAGCCTCCTTATTCACGTGACTTGAGTCCTTGTGACTTTTTTCTGTTCCCGAAGTTGAAAAATGACCTCAAGGGAAGACGAACTACGAAGCGGAAGGCTTTCATCTTCAAGATGTCAACACTTTCGATTGAATCTCAAAAAACACGTTTTCTCATTCTTTGTTGTCAAATAAAAAGTTTTGCCACAAAAATTGGTGTACACATTTTATGCGCCCATATTTTAAATACCCCCTTGAATAACTTTCACCAATAAAACCAGACTTTACAATTATTTCGGCGAAATTTCCTAATAATGAAATAGTACTAGTACATCGTGTTTGAAACTTACATGGAACACAATGTCTCGTATTAGAATAAGTTACAAGTAAATTCACTTGTAATTAATAATAATAATAATAAATGCCTTTATTTTCAACAGTTCACAAAAAATATATCAAAAAGAGACATGAGTATTAACGAGAAAAAAATGACGACTGTCTGAAAACCACACGGAGAGTCACTATCTAGTGCTCTTCCACTCATCCCTTGAAATTATTAGAGACATTATGCCAGTAAATGCATTCATCGAGCATATACGTATACACGCATCAGTATGAACAACATGTAAATTAAAAAAAAGAGAGAGAAAAGTGAGAAACGTAGTAAAGTTAAAAAGTCTAGAATAATATATATACACATATACATACCGCATAAACAAACGTCAACATGAACGACAATTAAGTTTAAAAAAAAAGAAAAAAGTGAGAAACGCGGTAGTAAATTTAAAAGTCTAGAATAATATATGTACGTACATTATGCATCATGTGAAAAAAAATATTAGAGCATACTTTTTATGGAATAGGGCCCCGTGTCGAAATCAGGTTGAAGTCAAAATGCCTTCGGTAGCTTTCTGCAAGGACTGAGTCACATAGTTCATTTTGAAAAAATAATGTCAGGAAGCGTGGTATTCATGCAATGGGCATATGGTCATTATGCATAAGCTTTGACAACTTACCTATATGGATGTTTCAGGCATCCATACGAATCCCTGTATCTTCCGTACAAAGTTCCGTAAGACACGCCCAACAATTCAGCCGCAACTTTCATTTCCAGATTTTTTGTTTTAATAGCGTCCATGACCCTCTTGGTAAAAGGTTCCTCCCAAAATTGCTGTCGTCTTCCGGTGTTCAAGTAGTCGTTCATTTTTACTACATCTGGCCATTCCTGAACAAATACAGCGTGTAAACGTTATGGTAGTAGTCATTATTGAAATGGGTAATAGGAGGGTCAAAACAAGTCAAAAAGTTCGTATGACCCATGGTCCAAAAGTCAATAGATTTTTGTCTAAATGGCTTTATAGTTTACAACTTTAAGTGCTTTGTATCGACCACAATCACTACAATCTTACTAATTTCTATAATCTAATCTAAAAAGTTTTTAAATTGGGTAATTAACAAATAAATGGCATTAGGTTTTTCTAAGTTAAGCCAAAATTCGTAGTCAGTAAGTAAGTTTCATTAAATTAAATATTTAAAACACGTGACAACAGGGCGTCGGTCTTTCATCACTCTTATCGAACCGGCAATCGATCGCAAAAGCTAACAGTGGTTAGTTATCGTTTTGCATAGATAAATTACTTTATCGTTTTGTCGAGCAGATCATCGGGCGTGTTATTTTGTTTTTGTTCGCGTACGTCGTCGTGTTTATTTACAATGTTCTCGAATCAAGAGTTCGCCGACATGTTGTTAGTATACGGTGCAGCTCGTCAGAATTGAAATCTTGCAGCTTAAATTTACCGCGACAGATTTCGCCAATGGGTACACCCAGACAGAAGGACATTTGTACAAGTATACCAAAGACTTCGAGATACAGGAAGTGTTCAGCCCACTAATATTCGCACTCGTGAAAGACAGGTTACTGTAGAGCAGGAGGAACAAATTTTGAATATCATGGAAATCAATGCAGATATCAGCACTTGGGAATTAGGCCGCCGCGTAGGACTATCGCATACCATAGACCATAGAATCCTACGGGAAAATTTGCTTTATTCCTACCATGTACAACGAGGGCAGGCCTTGTTATCAGAAGACTATCCTCGCAGACTAGCATTCTGTCACTGGTTTTTGAACAAAAACATTGAAAATCCGGATTTTTTAAAAACATTCTGACGGACGAATGTACTTGTACGCGAGACGGGATATTAAATTTCCATAATACTCACACGTGGGCCCAAGAAAATCCTCATACGATTCGTGAAGGTCATTTCTAACAACGTTTTAAAATAAATATTTGGGGGTGGTATTCTTAACGATCAAGTAATTGGCCTTTTCGAGTTACCCTCAAAGTTGTCAGGAGAAGGATACCTTAGCTTTCTAGCCAATAACCTACCAGAACTTTTGACACAGACCTTAGACAACATGCCATTACAACGGAGGCAGAATTTGTGGTTTCTTCATGACATGGCACCACCACACATTTTTAGAGGTGTCATTCAGTATTTGAATTTGAATGAACATTATCCAAATCGCCGAATCGGTCGAAATGCTCCTGATCCTCGAAAATGGCCAGCAAAATCTCCTGACCTCAATCCAATGGATTTCGGGGGTGGTCAAATAACAACTAAAGCAAGACTGCGCGAAAAAATTTTTAATGCGGCTGAAATAATAAATGGACAACAACTTCGAGCGCCTAGAGTAAGAAGAAACTGGGTTCGTCGTAATGAAGCTTGCGTGGAAAGTAGAGGACGACATTTTGAACACCTTCTTTAAATACAAAAAAGTGCAGTGTGGGTTTTAAAAAGAAAAACAATGTATGTATCAAAATTGTGTTCCCTATTTAATACGTTCAATAAACTTTCACACACCAGGTCAAGCGCTGAGACAGTTAGTGGTAAGTGCGTTTTTTTGCATTTTACGAGTACATTATCAAATACCTAAGAGCCAAAAATAACAAACTTCACCTTTATTTACACTGCGTTCCGTCGTAATTTGCATCTAGCATTGCGGCATTGTTTTTTCTTCTTTTAACCACCTCTATCGCCCATTTAAATAATCACTATCATAACATTTACACCCTGTATATTACATAATACAATTTATGAAAAGAAACAAGTATGTGGGATCTGAATGCGTTAACGCCGTGCTTACCTTTTCTATACTAGGTGTTAGGAATGATGTCGGTTGGGATGTGCTAGCATTTGATTTGTTCATTGCCCCTTTGCTGTTACTGTCATTAATTAAACTGAATGAGATATTGGTTCGTTCATCCATTGTCATTTCATCTTCCTCAACGGTCTGAAAATAAACAGAACAGATATGATGTATCGAAATAAGGCAGCGCGAAGCGGCATCTACCAGTAAAATCAACCACTGCGAACTGTATAGATCTCAGTCCGCAAATTTGAAGTCCAATCACCACGTGACCGCTAGATGGCGGTAAATCACACCTCAACCTCATTCGTAACTATTCCGAAGATTTACAAAAAGTCCCAAAAAATAAATAGTTTTTTCTTTTATAAGACATTGAAATATTTTGTTTTACCATCATATTAACAAAATTATTATCAAGTAATATGATCTTAAACTATAAAACTAGACTAATACTGATAACAACGCAATATTTGGCTGACACATACATGTTCAGACGAACTATTTCAATAGCTCGTTACGTCTCGATTTGCATTAATTCTGGCTTGCATAGCTTTAACAAGGTTTTCACAGTCTTCCGCCTTAAAAAAAGCTCATATATTTTGTAATTTTACTCGTAAATAAGAAATGTTTCGATGTGAATCATTTCTCAACTGCTGCTTCATTTTGTACCATACAGTTTCGATAATATTTAAAGCAGGACTACTGGAAGGCCAGTCAAGGACGGAATTATTATTATCCTGTAACCATTTTTCTCGTGGTTTTGGCCTTATTACATGTCGCCCCATCTTAATTAAAAAAAACAGTTTCTATCAGGTGATAAAATTGAAACTGGTTTCAAGGATATTTTGATATTTAACTGCGTTTGCAGTTCCGTCTTTGAAGTGAAGTTTTCCAACGCCAAAAGCAGATAGGCTTTGCCACACCATTAAAACTGATAGAAACTTTACTTTTCTCTTTAGGAAGTCTTTATGAAATGCTTCATTTTTGTTTCTTATAACCAGGGATCGATAGTCACCTACACAAACACCAAATTTCGATTCATCGCTAAAAAGGAACTTTTTCCAGTCTTTCAAGTCCACATTACCCGTTCCTTAGTCGTAAGCCACGGTTTTTCTTTTGACTAAAGCAAACATTATACTGAATAAATGTGTCATATTATGTCTCTTAAATGCAACCTACGAACCTTATAAAAATGTAAACCAGACTTATGAATCCACCGACGGCACGTTTCTCGTGAAACATTTCCTGCTGTTTCTTCATTCCATTTTGCTGTTATGTCCCTTATAGTACCTCGGTGACCAGCTTTACAAATATAAACAAGAGATCTTTGCATTCTAGGACTGATCTTACGTGGTCTACCAACACCGTGTCTTGAAACTTGTGTGGAACCTGTGTCTCCATACGTCTTTACAATATCTGCCACCGTAGATTTTGCGACATTTATTTCTTTAGCAATATCCCGAAAACTCTTTCCTTGATGAAACAATTTTATGATTAAAACTCTGATTGCACCGTTTGTTGCTTTACCACGCGACATTTTAAAGCAAATTGATTCCCATCGCCTGCTATTACTTTCTTTTTAATATCGCGTCTGAACATTCGTGTGTCAGCAAAATGTTGCGTTGTTATCAATATTACTTTGATTTTATATTTCAATATCATATTACTTGAAACCAGTTTTGTTAATATGATGTGCAAATAATATATTTCGTTGTCATATGAGAGAAAAACAATTAATTGTTAACCTTACAAAAATAAACAAAATTTTAGATAAAATTAGATAGTGTCCGAACATTTTGTGTGGGCTCGTATTGTGATTTAACTAGTTGAAATGTTATATACTTTTTTGGAATTGTTATGTCCTTATTTATTTTATATTATACGTATTTTTCCGGCATATTTGCTAAAACGCTTCATATTGACAAGTCTTATATCATGAAACATGATCTAATAGGAAAATGAATATCATATGAGTGAACCCTAAGTATTTAAAATTAAGATTTGAAAATTTGAAATATAGATGTTTCAATAATACCATTAAAAACAGTGGTTTCTTTTCTTTTCTCACAATGAAACTGCGTGATACTTTGGGTATATTTAATCCTGTTATAAAATTCTCTTACCACTTCTCTCTTCACACTCAGTCTGGGTTCTACGTTCTCCATATTTTCTGCCGCCTCTTCCTCCCACATGTTCAAGTCATGTTCACTACTGGACATAGCATCATTTGAATAACCGTCATCTCCAGTCGAGTGTTGTACCTTAGGATGTGTGAAACTCTGGAAAAACATATACGTTTTTTTTCAAAATTTTATTAGCTTAAAAGTTTTTAAAGCAGACTTTCTCGCCTACGTACCCCATTTGCCTAAACACGAGTTTTGGATGATGTTCTTCAATAGTATAAACTGAACTTTCATGACAAAACTTCCATTTACGTGTCTCCCTGTTTCAAGAGAACACCTTTGAGTAAACTGGAATGCTGACTTTGAATGTGACCTTCAAACATTGCTAAAGTTTCGCCCAATTTCAATAGGAAAATGAAGCTTTTAGCTCCTCCCGCTGGTCTCAAAGAAAAACTGACATCAGATTCGTGGTTCGCGCACATTTATCCAAGAAATAGGTATTGACAGAAATTTTAAAGAGGACTTTGCAAACAGCCGTCTGGAAAACTGGACCCGGTCAAGTTTAACGAAATCTTTCTGAGAGATAGCAATCTGTAATATGTCTGAAAAACTACTATTCTGAACCTGCGGTCAGACTAACAGAAAAGATTTCATTGCAAAATGACCTGGCCACATTTTCTTGATATATTCGTGTGTATGAATCCGTGGTCAAAACAGATGCAACGATTTTTCGTGTTCAGAAAATTCAGAAAACAGAGAAACAGAGGCAACAAACAGGGATGCTACTTGAGCAACACCAGATATCTCACGTTTCTTTGTATGCTGAGCACTTATACGATGTGAGAAAAACTGCAGCGCTGTTTAGTCTTTAAAATACTGCTGAAGCACCTACAGAAGACTGAGGAATAGCGGCACAGTTGTGCAAACAAACGACACAAAAAACATCACGTTTCCATTAATGCTGACGTCTGAATCGCTGCAGAAATCTGTCATCGGAAAATTGTTAGAATGGCTTCAGAAAACTAAAATACCATAATCAGTGTTATAATATTATCCACCCTACAAAACATTTATATTTTGTGCACATTATCAGATAATATTGCAAAAGTACATTCAGCATTGAGGATTTGTGTTAATACATCCAATCGAATACGATTTAGATTTGCATCCATTAACAATACTTCGTTTTTTTTTCGTAATCAAGTTTTTGTAGCTAACACATTTTACATACTTGAAGTTTCATTACACTCCAAAGGCGTACGATAAAGTGACCTGCGTCGCGTATTAATTTTTTTTACATGACTTGATCTGTCTGTGTGTCTCATTGTATCTTTTGAGGCGATTAGAAATGAAACATTAGAATCAATAGTAATCAAATGTTTAGATTTTCATTTGCATTAAGCAAACGCTACGTTGCACCAACGGAATTTCAAGATTGCTAAGATTGTTTTTAAGCGGTGGCAGTGTAGCTCAAGCAGAATTACTGTTATCGCAATTTCTCAGTACCCCAAAAAGTGTTGCATCTATTTTGACCACACATTCATATTCAACACACAAGAATAAGTCAAGAAAATAAAATATACTAAGTGACATATAAATCCGAACATCCAGTTTAAATGGTTTTATTTTAATAAAAGTTGGTGAATGTATTTATCTTACTGTAAATAACCAGTGAAAAAATTTTCAGCCTTATCAGTTGGACATTTCGGTTTTTATTTTGCTTTTTTTTAATTCACTAACGCTCTAAAAATGAATATTTCAGCCGCAGTAAAGATTCAACGTTGACGGATTTTGGTTCTTGACATCCTTTACGATCGGTTACGATGCCTAGAGTACGGAGACCTGTACGATTTCGTCAACTTAGTGAGATTGATAGGGGCCGTATAGTGGGACTTCGGGAAGCTGGACTTTCTTTTCGGGCAATTGCAGTTAGAGTGCAAAGAAGTGTAGACACTGTGGTTAGGTGTTGTCAGGCATGGCTTCGAGAAGATCGTACGCAAAGAGCAAGGGGCACTGGACGCCGCCGTAGAACAACAGACCGTGAAGATCGCCGCCTAAGATTATTGGCCTTAAGGGACCGTTTCTCCACTACCAGGTCCATTGCAAATGAATGGTTTGCAGAACACGGAAGACCTATTAGCATGCGAAGTGTTTACCGACGAATGAGAAGTTTTGGCTTGTTTTCATACCGGCCACACTGGGTCCTCCCTCAAACTCGAGAACACCGACGTAATCGCCTTGAGTGGTGCAGACAACGGTCACTCTGGGATCAGGAATGGAACAGTATTGTCTTTAGTGACGAGTCTCGATTTTGTTTAGGCATGCACGATGGTCGTGCCAGGGTTAGAAGGCGACGTGGTGAAAGGAGGAATCCACAGTTTTTTGTTGAAAGACATGTTCATCACACTGTTGGAGTTATGGTTTGGGGTGCTATAGCTTATGGTTCCAGGTCACCTTTAATCTTCATCAGAGGTAACATGAACGCGCAGCGTTATATCCACGAAGTTCTAGAACCCCATCTTTTACCCTATCTTGACACCCTGGCAGATCCAACTTTCCAACAAGATAATGGCCGACCACATGTTGCAAGAGTCACAATAGACTTCTTTCAACATAATGATGTCACATTGTTACCATGGCCACCAAGATCTCCCGACTTATCCCCAATTGAGCACGTGTGGGATATGATGGGTAGGAGATTGCTCAATTTGCAACGTCCTCCTCAGACTCTAGAAGCACTTCGAGAGGAGTTGGTGGTTGCCTGGAATGAGATACCACAGGAGGACATTGACCACCTGATCAGAAGCATGCCTAGGCGCGTTGGAGAATGCGTAGCACATCAGGGTGCATCCACACATTATTAAAGGTCAAAGGGCTTTAAAGCAGTGCAGTCATTTTGAAATTTTTATCATTAACTTATTATGCTTCATTAAGTACTTATACAAAATTTTATTAAAATAAAACCATTTAAACTGGGTGTTCGGATTTATATGTCACTTAGTATACTTCAGAAGGCTGTGAGTTGCGAATAGTAGTTTTTCAGGCCTAGGTTCCATTGACTTTTTTCATCTACACGTTGAGGACTAGAATTCAGCAGTTTCGTCGAATTTGACCGTGTCCGTTTTTCCATAAGGATAGTTGCGTAGTTCTTTGAATTTTTGGTGCTTTTGGTAATTTATAATATGTTAATGAATCACCTTGAAAAACTAACCTGATCGTAATCGTCGATGGGCGGCCGTCCACGCTTTCTCTTATTGGGCGGCCCCCCGCTGCCCGTAGCCGCCCCCGGGCTGGCAGGCATCACTGCCTGCACCTGGGGGATGGCCGTCTGGACGCCGTTCTCCCCTCCAGGACCCCCAGATTGCTCGTCCTCGCGCCATGACACCTCCGCCAGACCCTTGATGCGAAGCTCTTCGGCTGTTTTCAACAGCGTCGCTAGGTGACACTGCAAACGAAAGCATGGTTAATACAACAATTCGCCTCGATCATTTGAGTAAAGATGGGATAAAAATAGCAAAAAGAGGTGATTCCTAAGTGTTTCGCCCTCTGACGACGAAAATCCACTTTGTCTGGGCTAATAAGTCATTCAAAAATATCACATGTGGAGATTCTGTATCGACAAAAACGGTGTCAAGTAGGTTGACTCTGTACTTTCCAAGCACTGCTCGCTGTCAGCAATTCATAAAACAAGTTAGCGATGAACTTATAACAAAAAAATGATATGGATCAAGTCAGTCAAACAGTCTCATACAATTAGTCGACGGTCTCCACATGTTTGACAGCGTTGCGATCTAGAAATTTCTCCCCTGCCGTACCGACCATGAGGCAGCATTGCCTTGAGCGCCCGGAGAGGTGCCACGGGACTCGGTCAATCTAAATATAAAAATTGCATGTTTAGCATGACTTTGTATAGGATTTTGAGAGAATTTGCTGCACCCACTGTTCAAAACGTTTTGTCGGCACGTATACTATCAGAAGTTACCTAAGTGAAAATCCACCAGGCGCGCATGGACCTTGTTATGACTAACCTCCCAGCTTGTCAACCACGACACCACCGCAACCTACGAGAATACGAAACACAGACATCCATCCGTTGGATTTTTTAAGAGCAAATCTACGATGTGTGAAATATGTCTAATAGGCACGTAGAATTACCTGAGCTGGAAGTGAAGAAATAAACTAACGCCAACAAATTCCTTCCCCATCTCCTGAAACCTCCAATTTAAACTCCGAGAATTTTCTTTTCAGACAATAATTATCGAGAGCTTGTGAAACGTCAAAAAACGAAGAATGGGCGCTTTTCATTTTTTTTTTTTCGTTTTTTGCCTCTAGCTCAGCCTCCGGTGGACCAATGGATCCAGGATTAGCGGACAGAGAGACTGACCGAGAGACAAACCAACGGAAATACATGGTTTTTCGTAATGAAATCTAATTTTGTGCGATTAGATTTTTCCTCACTAGTGACGTGGTGAGTAAAAACAAGTCAACAGTTATCTGTACAATATAGGCTTCTACCCCCTTATTTCCTATTGCGTTACACCCAAGAATTACATGATTTTCCACTATAATAAATCTGGAGTACACCATAAGAAATAACTTAGGAGTTTTGAGTCCGGAGATCAAGCAGACTACAAGTCTGGTTCTACCCCACCTACACAAGCATCCCCGTATGTTTTTGTTGTAAATGTATGAATAAACATACTAACATTGCTAGATGTAACTCGATCAGAAATAAACATTGAATCAAAACTAATTTCGCCCTGTACAAAGTAGGTTTTCGAAATCTGTCAAAGTCCTAGAATAGTTCAACAAATCACCCCTTAAATGTCTGCTTATGTTTTAGAAACATCCTGTATTTGAAAATTGCACAATATCGTACAATAATAAATTTAATTTATCGTTTCCCTAAATCTGTAAAGTAGACAGCTTAGACAATTATATCATTTGGAATGTTTGTGTTGTTTAACGCTTTACCACAAAAAAAACAAATGTATCAAGATGGTTCCAACAGAAATGTCTTATGCTACTATATACAACATTATCTCCAAAATCCGTATGATCTATTAAATACTATTTGATCTTAAAGATCAATTTTACTGAAATTGAGGTGGACTGTTTTCATGACAAAAGTTCATTCGAAAACACTTGTTTATCTAATTCATATATAATTATAATATGGTTATATCGTCAAAATAATATTGTCGTTATACCGCCTTAAAAGTTTCCAATCTGTTAAGAGCATTATTATTTTATGACCTACTTAAAGTGGAATGGAAAATTCGGTATTGATTTTTAGGAAATTGAATATTGTATGGAAAGAGCAAGATACGGATTATTAATATAGCGCTGCGGCACCATGAAAAAATCTCCAGTAAATGTATCGACGAAACCAATACGATCGCGATGTATTTACAGTAATGGACAAAAGTATATAGACAAATTAATATTGTGCTGTATTTCTTTTTTAACTTGTTTTATTAATACACCAACCTGTATATATATATTCGTTATAGCATAATACTCACTTATACATAAATAAATTTATTAGACTCCCTTCAATAAAAAATTAATTGAAAAAAACTGGAACTATGAAGGACAAAAATACGAGCCCCTTCCCACTTCAGTTGGCCCAACTATTGAAATCTTTGTTTTTTTCTTATCAAACACAAATAACAAACATGTAGCAGAGTGTTATAGGTTTAAAATATTAACAATGAATGTTTTGATAATATATAATAGAAAACACCAATTTTATCACTCCCTAATCAAATTTGCAGCATAAAAATAACACATGTTGCAATTACAGCATATCAACCTATTTTCATTTCAATGCAAAATAAGTCTATAACGCACAGATGGCTGTGAAAAATAAAAGTCATGACAATTATTTTTATTAATCACAGCTGTCAGAACACGTTTAAAATAGTTTTGGGTAGTTAAGGTTTGCAAAATGGGTAGAGGAAAGGTTATTAGTGAGAAAATTCGGTTACTGATAATTAAATTTTTTAATTCTGAGAAATCAAACTCAGAAATTGCAACTTTGTTAGACTTATCGCGGTACAGTGTGAGAAATATTGTTAGAAGATATAACGTAACTGGTTCAGTTAATATTAAGCCACGATATGTGAAAAAAAGTAGTGATGGAAGAATGTTTGACATCCGGCCAAGGTTTTGTGTTTCAGCAAGATGGTGCAGCATGCCATACCTCTTAAAAGGCTATAAAATGGATGGAAAAAAATAATGTACTACATTTGAAATGGGTTTCTAGCAGTCCAGATCTGTCACCTATTGAAACTTTGTGGCACGAGATGAAAAAGGATCTACGACAACATCCTGCTCGTACAATCACCGAACTGAGACAAAAGCTTCAAGAAATATGGGATTGTTTTACACCAAATTTTTGCCAAAACTTGGTTAACACTATGCCCCAAAGAATTTCAGCCGTAATAAAAAATAGAGGTGATGTTCCCCAATGGTAATCTTTCAATTGTTGCTTTGTTAACTTTGCGCATTTACTCGCACATTGTTTTTGTCTCTCATAAAAAAGTGCTTATATTCAGACTTGTATTGTGTTCATTGCAGATAATGTAAAAACAAGGACTTTAGTTTTTCTACTAATAACGCATTTGTTTATGGAGCAATGAAGTATGAATTCGTTTTCTAAAGGTATTTAGGTAAATATTCGTATTTGTCTATATACTTTTGTCCATTACTGTATATTGCATAAGAAACTCGAATAAGAACGATATGTTCTTTTCAATAATGTCCCATACTGAAAGTGACTCCCATACCAAAAAAAGAAAGAAATTCATAACATCTCAGATGACATACAAAATGTTTTTCGACTGTTTGCTGCCAAAATGAGATGGATTCGCCAATGGAAGAATTTTCGTAAGTATATCTTCAATTTACTATAGCAATATAGCTAATGCTGCTAAAGCACCCCACACAAAACAAAAGGAAAATGGGTCTCAGTGGATTTGTTTAATAATCCATTACGATAGTATTTCTCGTTGTCCTGAATAAAACTTCCCCTTAAATCAACGCTATCGTACGATTAGTTTCTGAGAAATAGGGGGCTGAAGTATGCTGATGTTAAAAAACGGTAAATGTGCACATTAAAAAGATTTTTTAGTTCCTCTAGAAAATCATTCAAATGTGGCTTGTATCGAATCTAGACCTTTACAAAATAGCTGGTGCTCTTATTAATAGATAACCCCTTATTATTATTTATGGGGGGTGCTAATGTGCTAATGCTGCCTTAGCGCCCCTCATCTACTAGTAACAACGCAAGGGCCAAACGTTAAATGCAGAAAGGCTCTCCAAGAGATTGGACTTCCTTATCCTTCGAAAAAGTTTACTCAAACCGTTTGACATGCCGGATGCAGACCAAAACAAAAACTCAATAGTCAATAAATTACAATACCCTAAAGCTATGTTCATATTAGTGCGCTTTTTCACTGTCAATATTAACAAGACCTTCAGTTAACCTTGTAAAGGTCATAATCAAAGACAACTAAACAAACACGACTATTCCGTGCCCTTGTGAAACGAACTGTCCTCGTGATTTTTTAATTCTCGACCAGCGCGTGTCAATGCATAAGCTTTCCCCTGAATTGACCTTCCAAAACCTCCCTAAAAAATACTTTAATCAGTATTTGGTTTAAGAACTACATTCGGCACATTCGTCATTTTTGCAAATCGAACAAAGTTCCTCCCCGTATGTCTCAGAAATTAATCATAGGATTGCTTTGGTTCCAAAACAACTTTTGTTCAGGAAAGCGAGAAATATTCTGTACTCAATTTTTAGACAAATCTATTGGGGCCTATTTTCCATGTTTTATGCAGGGTCCTTTACTCAAAATCGACGCATTGGTTACTGAGGTTGTGCGATTTCAAAAAATGCCACTCAAGAAATCGATCGACAGAAAGACCTCGAAAATTAATGTTACATGGTTAAATTGCCACATACGTAATGAACCTCAAATACGAAAAGTTTGGGTTCAGGTTACATGTCCGCTAGAGTAAAAAATTCACTCGTCATAAGCGAAATACCATTTTGCAACTCACGGTAAAAAAACTTAACACGTATTCAAAAAAATGCTGCTATCTGTTTTGTAAAAATTTATTGCGTTTCACCGATAACGAAAGTCAACATTACTGTATAAATAAAGCTGGTACTTATGATTTATTTTTAAGTCGAAATCAAAATTCCAGGAAAATAACTACACATATCGCGTTCACATATTTTTACTCTTCATTGTTAATGTTAACTTGTAAGCTAATCATTCAGAAGCGTATGCACCAATGGATCATCGTATGGATCACTACCCTCCAACAGTGTGTGATTTTAGAAGGGGAGGACCCGGGGGAAGAAGGAATTATAGTATGAGTATCCCGCTACGTCGATGTTATCTTTGATTAATATCAATACCATCAACGTTA